CCGTCCGGCTGAGCCCGGCTGCCAGACGGCTCCTGTCCTTGCCGCCCCACCACACTCGGTGATTTGTGAAGGTCAAGGACCGCTCCGGCACTCCGTGCTCCCGCTCTCTAATCATCTTCCCGGCGCCTGGCACTACCCGAGTGCTCTGCTCCCTGAAGCGGCACCGCAGGGCTCCTTCGTCTCCCCTGAGCGGGCAGGGGTTGCGGGGCGCGCTCGGTTAATGGGTGATGGTGGTGGGGCAGGCGCTGGTGTCACAGCCCGAGCCGGGCCGTGAATCCCCTTGGCTGCTGGCACGGGGCGGTTTGGGAAGCAGAGGTGCAGCAAGCGGTGCGGGGTGGCCCACTGGCACCGATGCTGCGGGGCAGAGGGGAGCAGGGGCAGCTGCACCCCCGTGTCGTGACAGCGGGAGACTGCTGCCCGTGTTTTAGAGAGAAGGTTGAAAAATGGGCGAGGTAGAAAAGCACTACAGCCATCATCTTTCAGGGCTGGAGAAAGTGCCCCATTGTGAGATACTAAGCACGCACAACCCGTTTAGCTTATCAAGAAGAAGATTGAGAAGGGACTTGATTAGTGTGAGTAAGTGCCGTCCCCGTGTCGTGACAGCGGGAGACTGCTGCCCGTGTTTTAGAGAGAAGGTTGAAAAATGGGCGAGGTAGAAAAGCACTACAGCCATCATCTTTCAGGGCTGGAGAAAGTGCCCCATTGTGAGATACTAAGCACGCACAACCCGTTTAGCTTATCAAGAAGAAGATTGAGAAGGGACTTGATTAGTGTGAGTAAGTGCCGTCATGGGGAGGGGAGCAGGGACTGAGGGCTCTTTAATCCAGCAGAGAGGCAGAACAAGAACTGCCGGCTGGAAAGCAAAGCCAGACAAATTCAAATGAGAAATAAGGCATAAATTTTTAGCCGTGCAGGTGATTAACCACCAGAACTTGCTCCTCAGGGGAGCGTTGGCTTTTCCATCTCGGCTTCTGGGATGCCGACAGGCTGCTCACCCAGCACGCGTGCTGCAGCTGGGACACGCTGAGCCTGGTGCTCCCGTGCAGCAGGCGGACATCAGGCTTTGCTCCCGGCCTTGCTGTCCTGCTCCTCGTTGTTCCCCAAATGCAGTTTGGGTGAGCACGTCACGACAGAAGGAGCGTGGTGCTTGGGGATGCACGCGCTGTCTCACCGGTGCCATTCCTACCACATCCCTGGTGGAACCACAGAGCGCAGCAAGTGAAGGAATGCTGGTAATGGAAAAAGCAAGTGCATGGCATGGGAGCCCCGGTCGATAACTCTTAATATCTCAATGCCGTGAATCCATCTGCGGTGCTGGGGCGGGTGGCAGGGGCTGGGCTGCTTCCTGGGGACGCTTGGAACTGGTGGGTAGGGGGCAAGCACGAGTTTCTCAGTGCCATGCCTCTCCCACCCCTGCAGCTCTCGGGGGGTGAGAAGCGCCGGGAGAGCCAGCAGTCACCCCGCTTCGACTACTATGGGGCTGAGCCCGCCGCACTGGACCTCAGTGATGCTGAGCTGCCCCACGTCATCGAGATCTATGATTTCCCCTCGGACTTCCGCACTGAGGACCTGCTGCGTGTCTTCTGCAGCTATCAGTGAGTCTGCCGGCAGTGCCCCGTCCCCGGCGCTGGGGTCCCCTGCCTGGGCTCTGCTCCGTACCCCTGCACACCCAGTGCCTTGCTGAGCTTCCCTCTCTCCGGCAGGAAAAAAGGCTTTGATATTAAGTGGGTAGACGATACACATGCCCTGGGGATCTTCTCCAGCCCCATAACAGGTACTGCTCCCAGTTTGGCTGAGGATGGGTAAAGGGGAGACATCCCTGCCTCTCCCACGGCCGGATCCTGGGCATGTGGCTGGCCCTGCATGCAGACGCTGCTGCTCTTTCCCCACAGCACGTGATGCCCTCAGCACCAAGCACCTGATGGTGAAGACTCGCCCACTATCCCAGGGCACTCGTGCCTCTAAAGCCAAAGCTAGGGCGTATGCCGGTGAGTGATGCTGCCCTGTGCTGGCTCGTGGCATGGTGCTTGTGCTGCAGCATCTTCATCCTGGTAACTGGGGAGGGACGGGGCAGCCGTAAGCGGCTTAAGGGCTGCGGTCACCTCTGCCAGCTCCCTCCTGGGATGGCCCTACTAATAACCCCCATCTCCACTCACCCAGACTACCTGCAGCCGGCCAAGGAGCGC